TGCAGTAGATGGTGAAGCAATGACGAACTGGCCGATTGACAAGTCTCTGATTAGGCGCAGATCCGTGGACCTGTACACGACAGTGATGACTTCCCCGTAGTGACGCTTTATCTCACTCGTGGATGGCAGAATGAGGCTGACTAGATTAATGTCTTTGCCCTGTAATATTTGTGATCTGACCTGTGTGGAAATATCAGCAGACTGAAGTATATTTGGCCCATATACAGCCAGAGCTGGGCCGGCTGAGTGAGCCTGTGCCTGGCTAGTTTCACTGAGGAGGTGCAGCACTGATGTTTGCTTGGCACGAAGCAGAGGCTGCTGCGTTTTTGCGGGTTTTTAGACGAGTGTCAATTTTATGCATGGCGAGGACCAGGGACTGCAGGGTGGTCATCAGACTATTTTCTAAAGCTGAAGTGTGTGCAAGAGTGTGGGAGTAGGACGATGTGTTACTAATCTTTGGTTGGAAGAAGCCGCTTTCTTGGTCCTTAGCGGCTGCAAACAGACGCGGCGGGGGAGCCGCTTGAGTCACGCTTGATCTGCGATAACTTAGAATTGATGAACAGTTTGCTCGAACCGCTGGCTCGTGAAGCCGAGAAGGAGGCATGCCTGGAGCTGGCGATGGAGATGCCGTGATATTGAAGCTGAGTGATCAGTAAATCAGCCTCATCTGTGGGAGATTCGTTGTGTTCACTTGGCGAAGGCTCCTGCACGACCACCTGAAGGATTGGAGGCGATCTCTTGGATGCTGCGTCCGAACCTCCTGGGGATAGGGGATAAGCAAGGTGAGCGAAAGATTTGCCTTATGCGCATCACGGAATGAGGCTGACTGTGGAAGAGAGGAGAAGGGATTTCACAGGTTTGACAGCAGCCACATGATTGGCTGGAAGAGACTGTGACACAATCTGACTGGCCATTTAGAAACACCCACAATCAGCTGATTAATAAGCAGAGAGAGTGACAGATTTGAGATTGATTGAATGGGGGTGAAGTCTACCTGACTGAACTTACGCTGAACTTCATCTCTTCTTGTTTCAAACATGTCTTGATTCAAAAGGAAGGAGAAATTATGGACTTAAAAGATTTGTTCAAAGTCCTCAAAGACACTGCCTCATCATCTCATTCTTTTGGATTGTGACATTGAAGTGACCAGATATGATGTAGTTGTTGCAGATGACTTGTCACCTGCAAAGGGCCCTTTTAAAATCCACCACATCTTGAGAGGATTCACAATTGGGTGGTCAGCTCCCATGTCAACACGACTTGTGAACGTGGACCATTTGTTTTGGTCCTCTGTGTAGGTGATGAATTCGATGCATGCATCAAAGTGGAGCTGTAAAGCCTGTATTAATGTCGCCCGATGTTCATTGCTCAGTTTGCAACATTTACATCAAACCACATTTACTCAGTAATGTTAATAAAATGCATATATTATCCAGATTAACATTAACAAAACATTAAAACAATGACAAAACAAATATACAGTTTCACCTACAGCAACTGATAGGGTCGAATTCTGTGGGAAGCACTGCATGTATA